GTTTCCCTGTAGGCCCTCGATTTACATACCCGTCGAAAAGGAAGATTTCAAATTGCGAACACATCGCAGTCCATACACCGCATGAGCTTGACCTACTGTGATGCCCCTGTGCCCTGCTTAACGTGGTATCCTTAGATCATCGAATTTCATTGCATCTTTTGAATCAAACATACTCCAGCGATCCACCCTCCAGCCAACACTCACTCTGTCCGGTGCTCATGAGGCCCAATTGCACATTCCTGCTGGCGAAGGAAGGCAGATTTCTGTGTGGGCTCGAGGCGTTGATCATGATGGGGATGCCAGTTGACCAAATCAAGTGGGAACCCTTTTCCGACAGGGCAACTAAATTGCACTTAATGTGTGCTAATGTTACGACAACCAAGAATCAAGAACTTAAAGTTGGAATCAGTTTTTCGAATTTTGCTCTCTAAGGCACTGATGAAACTTGCGGGCAATGGGATGCACGTAAGATGTGTTTTGGCCGTCCTGTGTATCATATTCAGAGCGTTCAATCGCCAAAAATTGGCAGAGTACTTAGCCAGATGAATAGCCATCAAAGGTACATGGCGCTTTGTACCAACTTTCGCATCTTCAAAGCATCCAATGGAAGCTGGTTGGAAAAAACACAAAGTCTCTATATACATGTCTCTACTTTGCTGTTGATTCGTGAATAGGATGCATGGATTTTCGATCCTGGAGAAGGGGTTCAAACTTAGGTGAACATCCACAGGGATCATAGGGAACCCAATGCGACACTCCCATGATCATGAATGTAATCCATTTGATTTCCATGATATCCACATGACATGCATGTGGCTTCAAAACGGCGCTGCGATGGCATCCATATGACATATGTCCAGTATTGTCTAAGATCTGATTCCTAAACCAAAACTCCGATTGTCATGTTGACTAGTCTTTATATTTTACTCAGAATGTGATAACAACATAACACCTCCATTGTCCAATCAACCACATGGGTGTCCTGTTCCGCTACGATGACAGCGGTGACGATATCGTAGCTGCACCTGTGCGACGAGCCGGGGGAGCTGGGGTATGGCGGTATGATGAGACATCGGACTATGGCAGCAGTGATGACAATGTTTCTGATTCTGATTCCGGAGATGTTGAGTGCCTAGGTTATGGTGGATGTTCCCTTTTTTGAAACTGTTGAATTGGGGAACCTTTGGTTTTGGTTTGCTCAATGTTTTTCCAATGCTCTTTCTTGCAGTCAGATGCCAAAGTACCGATATTCACTATTATTTATTCACTTATTTTGCAAGTACAAGTGAATAATAGTCAGTGAATATCGGTACTTTGGATGTTTTATGATTATGAAATAATATTATCTCTTATTCTAAATTATGATGATGTTAATGGGTTCATGTGTCGATCCAAGGTCAAATTCTGAGTCAAGTTCAAGCTTATCTAGACCGAAATCTTCAACAGTGGACATGAAGCTGGTGGCGCTTCAATCATGTCACCAATTGGGAACATCTGGGGACACATCATCATTTGCAAAACACGGTGCTGACCCAAAGCGAATTCGGGCGGTTCTCCGGAAGCCTCCTTGTGACTGTAAGTGCTCGCTTCCATCATCAGTTTTGATTCAAACATGCCGGACATTTTGGTCATTACCTAAGACATCACAGGATGCTGTTTTATGGAGCCTCCAATCAGAAACTGGCCGGAAAACTTGGAAGATAGAAGGCTTGGTCCTGAAACGGGTCGGAAGTAGAATATATGTTTTATTCATTTTTAATACCGGGTTGGGTCAACATTTTTGATTCTCAACCCCAAATCCGACCCACGCCGGCGGCCTTTGGCCTTTGAACCACCGCAGGTTATCCTCTTTGTCGAACAGCCTGGCTACGCTTCTTGGGCATTGGCAAGGAGAGGCTCAACCGAACAAGGAAGCGGTACCGGGGGATTGATGACCGCACCATCAACCAGGGTAACGTGTCAATGAACTCAATTATGAAAAAAACAAGGTCCATGTACTGGTCCCTGTGCTGTTCAATTTATGTTGATTGTTGGTATTATTTTACTGTGTGTTTCCGTTTGCCCTCTGGTGATTTGAACCCAGTCTCGAACACCCATTTCAGGCAACACTGCACATCCAGCGATCCAAACTGCTTCTGTCCATGCTTTCTTTGGACACATGTGGTGGACAGCTGGTGAGAGCATGCCCACCAAGTTACTTGATTTGTTATTTTGTTTTTCATGGTTCAGGCAACCCTGAGTAAGTGGTAAAAATGATGATGGTAAACCAACCATTTCAAATACTGCCTTGTACCCAAAACCTTTGAGGAAACCTTTCAAATACCGGTAAGTCGAATCAACAAATTTGAACTAAACATACCGAGTGAACTCAACCTGCCCAGGTTTGAATCTGAGCCAACGACCAGTGAGCACATGAGGGAGCAATTGCTCCAACGCTTGGTGGACGAGAGGCTTTTGGGGCCTACCCGGCAGGTGATGGAGATGTGTCCTGAAGAACTTCCATTAAGGGAACTTCCACCAGGATCTATGTCAAGTTTATATCTCATGTACATTGCATTTCAACGGATCTCGCATTCAAAACCAGCTTCGAGAAGTACCTTCTACGTAGTGGCGAAGCAGTGGTCTTGCTGCCTTCGCTTTAGACGCAAGTGCGAGCATGCCATGTGTGCTACATGTCAGTCTTTGAAATCACAAATTCATGCAGCGACTGACCTTTGTCAGCCACAACAGTTTTTATCCGTTGCTGTTATTTTTGTTTGTTCAGGTTTGTTTTGATGGGTATGGCTTAATATGGCCTAATCATGAATCCCCCCACTCCCCCCACCCCTCACCACCGCTGAGGATTTCAAAGTTCACGCAGAACTTTGCGATGAACTGCTGGGGCACTACTCAGCCCAATGGGCTGACCGGCAGGTGTACTGGAAGGCCCGTGAGAGGAGTTCGACTCAGAGGGACTTATTGGTTGTCATAATAGATTCCTTTGACCGATCAAAAATATGCCTGCCATCCTGGCCACTGAAGAGAACACCTAAAAGGTCAGTTTATGAACTTCACCTGAGATACTTGACATCAACAATATTTTTTTGCAATTTTTCATTTACAGGAACTTTTGTTTTTCAATTTTGTGTTTCCCTGAACCCCTCCCATGGATCAACCAGAACCATCCCTCCCGACACTGGATTGAGGAGCATCATTGGTTCTAACTGCAGTTTTTTGCCATGGGCATGGACTTTACCTGTACCTAAGTACGGAAGAGGGCATGAGTGCTGGAAGCAATTGGAACTGGGAATGTGTATCTTGACTTGAACTAGTTTTTCATATCGCTATAATGGCAATGGTACTGATCTTGTGTTCCTCTTACCCTGGTCGCTTCTGTGGTCTTAGGTCATGCTGTCCTTGCAGAAAGTCTGGAGGCGTTGCAGGGCCACCAGCACTTCCTTTCCGGGGGAGTTTCCTGGAGTTGTCATCCCTGGGGTTTTGGATGGTAGCTTTGAGATTTTGATGATATCCTTTGATGATAGCCTGCTGCCGTTTGCTGTTTCTTTGGATGAGTTAAGTTAGTGGTTGCCTTTTTTGTTTGAACATCTTAGGCTGTGGCTGCAAAGCGATAACACGGTCAAAGAGATACGTAACAACAACGGAGCCCGAATGTTGAGCGTATTACTCCAAACTGGAGTTTTCAGAACGACATCACAACATCACCTCACAGTTGGACACACCCACGAGGATATAGATGCTGTTTTCAGCCTTTGTACGGCATGTTTGCACACTGCTCCCCGGTTGGAAACCCCGCGAGACATTGCCCAGCGAATTGACGAACGTGTGGGGCCAGTTTTTAGGAAGAAGGGTGTGGAGTTTTCAGTTGAGCTTTTGGGTGTGGTGCTTTGGTTGCTTTGAGTAGTTTTTTCTTTTTTGCATAGGCGATGGGTATACGATGGGTCTAGTTCTCAAATTAAGGATCTTAGAATACATATCTTCCTGTCCCATTGATTTTGGCGCATCCCTTAAGGCACGACAATGGACATCCATTCTTCCTGGGGCTGTTACATTCAAAAATGCTTTCAGGGCACGAAAACCAGATGCTGAAGGGGAACGGGTTCCATTGCCGCAGAGTTTCTCCTACATGCTGCGATCAGGTGGCTGGACATTATTGATATTAATCTATTATGTATTTTTATATTATATCATATATTATTTATATCGCGATTTCTCCATGCAATAGGTATGTGTTCGATATCATGTAAACACGTTTTAGACATGTTTACGTACATGCCCTTTTCAGCTAGGTCTTCCACATCAAGGTCAAGGATTAGAGTTGGATGAGCGGCAACCGAGGGCTTGGAGAACTCAGGATGGGTCTCGGGATGTGTTCTGCATGGTGAAACAAGCCATGAGTTCCACGCAGCTTTGTCAGAACCCGCTTCTGGTTTGGCCAGCTACATTGGGGGCCCAGTCCCAAAAGATGCTTGAGGATTGCAACAGCCCCACTTGCCCAATTCAGGGGTGTGAAATCAGCGACGATAGGATTGAGGAACTGAAATTGCTACGGGAGGCTATTTCACGGGACTTCCCTCACATGAGAAGGACTGTTGCATGGTACACTGGAATGATCGATAAAACCTGGGATTCCTCAGTGCGACCAATTTCTTTGACTTTTGTGCAGCACAACACTGCACACGATTTAGATAATGTGAATGTTCAACTTGGGCAAAGACCTGTGCCCCCGAAACCACATGAACTCCAAGTGGTGTTTCACCGGGCCAGGCTTTGATGTTTGGGGTTGTGGGATTACGGGAAAAAGGACACCCTGGCAAGAGTGAACCATGAACACAATGTGATCAATATGTGAAGTATCTGTGACCGTGTTTCATGTGATCAATTTGTGAACGGGTTTCATTTGTGCTGGATGTCACTGCTCATTCTTGGTGTCAGGTCTGAATTTACTTGTTAGCTTTCAGCAAGGCTTGATTTGACTGGGTGTGGGGGCGAGGGTAGTCGCCATGGATGCCAGTGTCTTTGAGGGGGATGCACATCTAGAACAACTGATGACATATTTCGATACAGTTACTTGGATTATTTTATTTTGCCCATTTTGGCCCTCGGTGTTTGTTGGTGTGCTTCATGGCATGGTCATTCCGAATTTGTGATTACTGTTGCTCAGTTTTCTATTGACATTGCTCTCTAAGGTGGTAGCTTCCAAAAACTTGGGGCAACATCTTCAAGATGTCTTTGGTGACGATGACAAAATGGACAAGGTTTGGGTCTCAAACTCGATGTCAGAAAAGTTGTACCAACATGAATTTGATTATCCTTTGGCCCCAAGGCCATCTTCCACTATGTCCTAGATGGTGCTTCGATCCCAGCCAGCAAAGCGCCCCTCAACCTGATTCCAGTTGATTCCATGGAAGAATTCTGGCTTCCCTTGAACAAGTTCAATTTTGGACCTGACTCCAAAAATGGATGCCGGGTTGGGTCGAAATTGGGGTGGTGCAGTTGATGTTATCAACATTCATCTGTTGTTTAAATGATTTTGAATATAACTTCTTTCTGCTGTTTTCTGTTTCATCTTTGGGTTTCAATTTCAATCTACTGAATCCAGCTCGATGTAGTGTTCCAATTTGGGCTTCTTGTTTTACCACCTGTTCCCTGAAGTCTACCCATCCAACCAGCAGTATGCCGCCCACTTTGGTGAGTTCCTCCTGCGTGGATACAAACCAGCGATGGGCACCATCGACTGCAAGTTTCCATTCAGAGATTCTACCCGTGCGATCAAGGATGGGAGTGTGGGAATCGTTGACGGTTTCACAAAGGTTCTCATAATGCTGGCGATAGTGGGATTCTTAGTGGAGCTTGAGGTGAACCGGGATGATCTCAATGGAACAAGGTTGGGGGAGAGCCTCAAATCGTTTGCAGCAATCCGATGCACATACCAGCACTATGACAACCCAAGCCATCACTTTTTGCTTTCTTTGAGACACTCGATATGGTAACTTTGATGTTTTGCCTTTAATTTGTCAAGCCATGACGTAAAGTGTGTTTTTCAATTTGTCATTTTGGGTATGTCATCTTACTGTAATTTGGATTGTCTGGGATTTGCTTCAACCCTGTGTGCTAAGAACTGGGGTACGTTACAGCTGAAAAGATCTCGCCGAGCCCAATCAGTATGCTTGCTGACATCCAGCAAGCCATCAACATAGAGCGCAAAATGAACAAGTCAAACAAGGCTTTGAAGGACATCATGGCTCGTGTGGTATCAGACTACAACAAGATGGTGTCGATCAAACGACACAAGATCGATGGGGCCAGACGCAATTTGATCTACAACCTGTTTCTTAGCCAAAAAAAACAATCAATCAATGAATCATTAGACATTTCCCAATCACTACGGGTCCCTTGTTGACGTGTTGTAGCCGGTTTGTCAGGCTGCGACTTCCTCAAGCCTGCCTGGACTTGCTGCACAAGCATTATGATGGCTATCGTCACGAACAGTCAGGTTGGGTTGGGGGCACTTGGCCAAAACATGTTCTTAGATTGTTTCATGGTGTTTTCTTACAAAGCCCTATGTGATTACTGTTGGCTGCCGATTCTGGTTTCTGAATGTCATTGTATCAACCCTGTAGGACTACCCCATGACGTGCTGACACATGATTTTTTCGTTCCTGGTTCCACCACGCGGAAAGACTGTGATATCTACAAGGGGAAGGAGCTGTTTTCCACTATCTTGACAACCTCCCCAGAGACATGTGCGACCTACTTCAAGAGGGCCATTGAGGACGGTTTTGTTTTGTCCATTTTATGTTCTTGATTTTTTATTCCTGAAATTGGTTTGGTTTCTACTTATAACGTATTGAACTTATTATCAATGACAAGTAATGCCGGTGTTACCCATGAGGATTTCTGTCGAAGAGCAGGGCAATCGGCCACTGTGAAGAAGAAGGAGATCATGGGGAAGGGTTCACCAGGGGAGGGGGGGTTTCAAAATGCGCCCCAATTATTTATCTCGGGTTTGATTGATAATATGGTGGCCCAATAATATCCCAATTATATTTACCATTTTATGACTCTATGTCGCTTTAAAATTACAGGCACCTACATGCAGTGAATCAAAAAAAACCATTCCAGGTTTCCAGTTCCATCCAAACATGCCCCCCCCGACCTGAGAAACAAAGCCAAATCTCCGAAGATGAGCACTTTCTGCTCCACGACGTTTGCTGCCTGTGGCTCTGGGTCAAGCAGAAGATGGCAGAGTCTTTTACTGTGACCGAGGTTGAGAAACACCAGGAATTGTTTGACAAGGGGTGCTTCAGCAGCAACAATCAACTTACTTTACTTCAAAGTAAATATATTGTCAAAATTTATTCGGTTGCCATTTCATCTGGCTAAGGCCAACACATGTTGATTGGTCGCCAAATTTGTTTGGCTAACCCTGGTAGGTTGTGATTGGTCGCTAAATGCAGTTGGTTAAACCCGACAAAAAGTGATTGCTAGCCAAAATATTTTGGCTAAGACTGCTTCAAAAACATGCGTGTTCCAGAAAACCCGTCACAAATAGTTGCTCGTAGCAAAATCGATTTGGCCAGCAAAAATCTTACTGGATCAATCACTTTTGGATTTGAAATTTCATGGCTGAAAAATCATGCGTGTTCCAGAAACTCCGTCATAATTTCAAGGATACCGGGGTAGTCAATCATGAGGCTCACAACATGGGAAGATTCTGAAGATCATGGGGGTCTTGAAATACTAGCTTTTTGTGATGCGTGTTCTGGAATACCCGTCACATTAGCCATGAAAATTTCAAGATGTAAATGTGATTGATTAAAAAAAAATATTTGAGAAAATATTCAAATTCTAAATCTTGGGTTTTTTGGGAATTTCTCCTGGGTTGCCCTTGGACAGCCCTGTCATCACGCATACTCGGCACCTCTGAGGCATTTGGATTCGGACCTGAGTGCCATTCTCAAGTCTGGAGAGCCCCCCGTGTTTGAACGGATCCCCTTTATTTTGGAGGACCGGTCTTTGAATGCCCTTTTGTTTTCAAAATGTAAACTACTTTTGAATTGAATCTTACATGTTATATAATGTCTATGCGTGTTTTTCGTTTCAACATCTAAATCGAACTGGATGGCTGGGCTTAAGATCTTTAAATGTTGGCCTTCCCACAAAAAGATAAGCCATGAGATGGGATATAAAATATTATATGATTGACCAGATCATTCATTCACATTGTAAACTGGTCTGCATCATCATCTCGGTCAACTTGTGCTGGGAGGCCCAAGGGAAGATGATGATCGACTATGTGGCCAGCCACCAGGATCGTTCAAAGAATGCGCTGTTGAAATCAATCGAGGCAACATACTTAGCGTGGGTGGAGGACTTGAGAGCTGATGAGGCCCAATTCGTCAGTGATAGGATCCTGAACCTCAGACTTTAACTTAGACAGCACATTTTTGTTTTTTACCCCTGCCCAGCAACGAGCTACTATATGCCACATCATCTTCTAACACTGACACATTCTATTGAAGTATCCATGTGTTGGCTTTGATTCGGTGCCCATTCTCTATATATGAAAATAAATTACTGTAACATGCGCTCAGCTGCTAGTCCCCTTGTGGCTGAGGATGGAAAAAGAGGGGCAGAAAACAAGGAACCGCTTGATCAAGCAGTTGGAGGACTGGTATCAAGGTTTTGGGGGTGTGGGATTCCATTGGAATCTGGGTTTGAGGATTCAAAATCAAACCACATTGTCAAAGATAATATGTGGCATAGGGTAAACAATCTCAGTTTGTCATTGTACTGGCCATGAGATGTGCATTGAATGAATGATAATTAGACATTCTGGTCTTCCCATCGTGTTTTCATAACCTCAGGATTGCCACAACCGCGCCTGGGAAGCAGTGGCCGAGTTCATGGGGCAGAACCTGGCGGTTTTTGCTGGCAAGGTGGCAGAGGGTGAGTCCACGGTCATGCCCAAGAGCAGGTCATGGCTAAGAGAGACAATCCAGGAGAATGCCAACTCACAGGATGTTCCGGGATCGGTTTGGGGTGGTTTGGAAATAATATATATATATATCACATTATATAATATAAATATTATCATTGTAATATAATATAAGAAATATATATATATTATTAAATCATAATATTTTAAATATTAATTAGTATAAATATAATATATATATAATATATTATATTAATAATATAATATAACATAATATGATGATATATGTATATATATATACAATATATTACAAATATAATAT